TCTCCCACTGACCCCCCACGTAGGAGCATCCAACCTGCGTGTCCGAGTCTGTGCCTCGAGTGTCATGCCCTTTTTAGCTTTCACAACAGTGGGATCATACTTAACATATCACCCTATAAACTGTTTATTTACTTAAAAATGAATCTTGGACATTTTTTCATGTCGGCCCAGAGAGCTCTACTTAGCTCTTTTTAATGCTTGCCGAGTGCTTGGCTGTGTGAAGGAGCCACGATTTATCTAATCGGCTCTATGGATAGACACTGTGTTGTCTGCCACTATAAATAACTCTGTAACAATTTTACAGAGGCGAAATCACTGGGCATCTGTGCAAATAAATCTGTGAACCAAAGTCCTAACTGGGCACCTCAAAGTTCTAGGTTAGAAGGTGGGTGTGTGCATTTAAAAATTTTCTAGATATTGCCAAATTTCTCTCAAAAAAAGATTGCACGGATTTACACACTTATAGCAGTGTATGAAAATGTGTCTTCACACCCTCTCTAACACCGCACCTCAAGAACATTTCAATTTTGATAAGCCAATAGGTATTTTTTAAGTGTCTCATGATTATGATTATCTTAATTTGTAGTTTTAAAATTAGGAGTCAGGTGTCCATCTTTTCATGTGCTACTAGAAATCCACAGTTTTCGATGGATGTTATACTTACATTCTTTACCTGTATTTTCAACTATTTTCTCCCTTATTAATTTCTAAAAGCTCTTTAGACATTAAAGATGTTAGTTTTTTGTCATTTGTGTTCTACTGTTTTCCCTCTAATGTTGTTCTTTGTCTTTTTCTTAAATACAAAAGATTTAAATGTGAACAGTCATTTCCATTATTTTTCTTTGTCTTTAGTATTTGGAACAGATTTTAAAAGGCCTTCCTCACTCTAAGATTATAAAACATTTTCCTCATGTTTTTTTTCTAGTTTTATTATGGTTTTATTTTTTTGCATTTAAAGTTTGATCAACTTGGAATTTGTTTCGATGTAAAGAACGAGGTGCGGGTCCCACGGGCCCATTGTCCCGATGCCTCTAACCGAACGATTTGGTTTTTTCTCTGCTGACTTGAAAGGCTGCGTTTACAGACGCCCTCACAGCGTCACATCTATTTCTGGACTCCACGCCTTTCCACTGGTCTATCTACTTCCATTTCAGTAACAAGTAGTTTCAGTTACTGTAACTTTATCACAATGTCTTTAAATATGCTGTCTGACTAAAAATGGACCTGCCTTATGACCCAGCAATTCCATTGCTGGGACTATATCCTAAGAACCCTAAAACACCAATCCAAAAGAACCTATGCACCACAGTGTTCATAGCAGCACAATTTACAATAGCCAAGAGTTGGAAGCAACCTAGGTGCCCGTCAGTAAATGAGTGGATCAAAAAAGTATGGTACATTTACACAATGGAATTCTATGCAGCAGAGTGAAAGAAGGAGCTCCTACCCTTTGCAATGGCTTGGATGGAACTGGAAAGTATTATGCTGAGTGAAATAAGCCAGGTGGTGAAAGACAAATACCATATGATCTCACCTTTAACAGGAAGCTAAACAACAAAACAAACAAGCAAGCAAAATAAAAACAACGACACTGAAATCGAGAACAGGGGGACAGCAACGGGGGGTGGGGGAGGGAATTTCAGGGGAAAAGGGGAAGGATTTACAGGAACTAGTATAAAGGACACATGGACAACAACTAAGGGGGGTGGAAATGGGAGGGAGGTGGGGGGCACAGGAGGGTGGGCTGGGATGGGAGTAAAAGACAGAATACTATACTTGAAAAATAAAAAATATAAATAAATAAATAAATAAATAAATCAAAAAATAAAAATTAAAAAAAAGCTGTTTGAATCATGTGTCTAGTTCAGAATTTTTCTAGCTACCTTTGAGGTTTATTTACCCAGTATTCAGTGTAACTTTGACAAGTTCCAAAAAAAAATCTGTTACTTTGATGAGATGGCTTTGAATCAATCAATTATTTAGGGAGAACTGACATCTTTATAATATAGAGTCTTCCTATCTAAGAACAAAGTATGCATCTCCATTTATTCTTTAACTCCCCTGAGTGGAGTTTGAAAGTTAAATTTATCCCTTAGTATTCCATTTTTCTTTTGGTGTTAGTGTAAATGTTTTCTTCTATTAAGTTTTCTAGCTAGCTATTGTTTATTTATGTGAAACTAATGATTATATATTATATTTTAAATGTAGTTGTAATATAGTTTAAATGGATTTATAACATATTTAAAATATATTATAATCTGTTTATCTTACAAAAGAAATATTTATAATTAGAATACTTCTCAATTTAAAAATTAGGCATAGTTCTGACTTTGGGATATTTATATTCTTTTTCTGCTCTAGGATGTCACTTTTAAATGGACAAATCAAAATACAAAGAAGTCCTTGGTCAAGGGCTCCCTGGAAGCCCAGCCCACACCCAGACCTGCTGCTCGGCCTGCCGAAGCCGCCTGCAGACCCCGACCGCTGTGCCCCCCAGCTGGCTCTTAGCGCCGACTGTGGGCCAGGGCGCGCAACCCCACTTCCTCTTCAGGTGGCCTTGTAGAATAATGCCAGCGTGGCTTTGTGGGGTGGGGGGCCTGTCCTGAGAGCTTCCTGCCACTGAGCCCCTGCCTACCACGGTCACATGGGAATACGGTTCAGCGCAGCCACATCTTCTGATTTTTCAAGGGAAGTCTGAAATTCAGATGTAAAATTTTTTAAACATTGACTCAAAATTCTAAAAAGTCTAGTGTGGGCCCAGTGAACCATATCTATGGGCTGGATTATCTTTTGTCTGGCTGGCCACCAGTTTACCACCTCGGTGGACCAGTGTCTGAGACGTGCCATCTCAGTCTCAACGCGTACTGGCTTCTTTTCTATCGAAAGAGACAGTAGAATAGGATCTTCTTGTGATCTGCCTAAAGCCAAGCTTCCTATGAACCCTGGCCCCTCTGCAGAACGGTCCCCTTGGGGGGTCTCATTTGATCCTCAAGGGGCTCTCACCATTTCAAGGGTGGAGAAACCAAGGCTCAGAGAGGCGTCCAAAGCCAGACAGCAAGGAAGTGGCAGCTCTGGGATTAGCCCCCGACTATCTGTGTGGCAGGGTAGCCGGCTGTGCAGGCCCTGGAGTCCATCTTTAACTTCGCCGCTCACTGGCTGTGAATTCTGGCCGGCTCTGTGATGGCTCCAAAGCCTCCGTTTCCCTGTTTATGAAGTGGGCCCGCACACAACAGCACCCGCCGCCCAGGGTTCCTCTGAGGGTAGCAGGAGTTCGCCTACAGAGCACCCAGTACTCAGTAACTACCCGATAAAGCCACAGCTACTATTGTGATGAACTGGCTTTCTTTCCACTCTACTCCCCTTACCCCCTATTATGTGAAGTCCTTTGAAAACAACAAGAACCAGGATCTAGGATTGAGGGCCAGCTCCAATTTCTTCCCTCATCCCTTCTATTGAGCGAGTCACTGCCCCCCCACCCCACTGAGACTTGGTTTCTGCATATATAACATGGGGGTTGTGTGCCATCAGAGGTCTTGTCACGGACCCTTGTGACACTCAGGGAGAAGACCTTGTAGGATATCACGCTGACTGAGGCTCCCATGTCCCCATCGCTGCCCCACCAGAGACACCTCCCCACCTGCAGGCTCAGCTGCATGTCAGACAGACAGGGGACTAAGTCACTCTTGCCACTTGACTGATCCCCACGTGGTGCCCATACCTGTGAATGGGGTCCCGGCTGCCTCTGCCACAGCCCCACGAGGGCCGTGCTAGCAGACCTGCTAGTCCAGGTCTCGGAGCTGGGCCGTCCCTGCTTTGCAACCTCGTCTCCTCCTACCCCTCCCCAGCATTCTAACTCAGACATAGCCCCCAGCTTCCATGATACAACCACAGCCTACCTGCACTTCCAGAAACCCCTGTCTTGGTCACTACTGACTGAGTCCAGTCTACCAGCCTGCAAGGACATCCTGCTACCTCAGGCTGGACCCAAAGGTTCTGGCCTGAGTGCCATCATCAGTCCCCACTGTCCGTCTGTACAGATGAAACCGCCTCCCGCCCGCCAGGTTGGACAGCCTCCCAGAGCTGAGTCTGTCCCGGCGCTGCTGGAACAGGGCAGGGACTCTGTCTGGGCCCTTCATGTCCAGCCCCTTCTGCAGCAGCAATCCCAGCAGTGACCAGCCACCAGGAGAGGGCTCCAAGAAATAACAACAGTGACATGTATTGGAGGTTTGCTGGAGCTAGACAAAAGTCTAAGCATTTTGCATGCATTAATGCATTAACCCTTATAATGCTAAAGGGTAGGTGCTATCACCATTCCCACTTTAGAGATTAAAAAGCCACAGCCCATAGTTCTTATATAATTTAGTCAAGATTATACAGCGAGTCAATGGCAACTTCCAACCCAGCAGTGGACCTCCAGGGCCCAGACTGTTGATCTTTACATGGGCAGCTCAAGAGGCTGGCCCTGGGCCTTCCAGAAAGGCGGCTGCTTTGCATACACCAAGCACCTTCCAGCCCTTCAGGACTTGACCTCTGCCTGAAATCTGAAATGCCAACAACATCTGCCAGGAGGCCCACTCATCCTTGAGGCTGGAGCCAACTAGGGGCACCTGTCTCCAAAGGGGGATAAATCCCAGACCTTTGGACGCTCGGCCCCACACACAGAGGATCCTGAAATCATGGGGCCCTCAACACGAGACTTTCCTGCCACCCACCCCCACCCCCCCGAAGACCGAACTCCATGTGGCATTTGCTGTCCTCCAGCTTCATCAGAGCCGTGTCTTCATCTACAGCCGGGTCTCAGTGCAGCCACAGCCCCTGGCCCCAGCAGTCTCCTGCTTGACCTGTTCTGGGACCTTACAACCTCGTTAAAATGAAAATGACCGGTCAAGTCCAAAAGCACCAGGAAGCCGCTCTTCCCTCCACATAGGTGTTCTCAATCTCTCCCCCTCTCTCTGCCTCTCTCTCTCCCTGCCACTCATCCCCACACCAGGTGCCCTCACCTGTCACAATGGGGTAGGTCTGCGGCCCAGGCACGCTGCTTCCGATATCAGCAGGGGTGGGGCTGGTCAGGTTGGCCTTCATGTCGTCCAGCCCTCCAGCCAGTGAGGCCATGGCTGAATACTCAGGGGTCTGAAAGAGAAAGCAAAAGAGACACCTCAGCACCGAGACTCCAGAGCACCCCAACCAAACGCCACCGCCGCAGTCTGGGCTCAGCCACTTAGCTGGGCTGCGGTGCCAGGGCCAGGGCCTTCAGGGGGCTCACGAACTGACAACCCCACCCAGGAGGAGAGGTGGGCAGAATTCAGTGCAGCTTCGCAAGAATTCAAACCCAGCTCCTCCAGGGTCTGCAGGCCCCCTCGCCCAGCCCCAGCCGCCAGAGACAGCTGTCCTCTTCAGTGTGGGGAGGGGGACATAACAGCCTTGTTGACAAAAAGCTGGAAAGAAAGGTTGCTGATTCTGTGCTCTGAAACTGCAGACACCGAAATTTGAGACATCAGCCAATCCAAACCCTCATTTCATAGATGGGTCAATTGAGGCCCAAGGGGAGGAGGGCTCTGCCTAGGCCAACAGGGCCGAGCCCCAGTGCAGGGGATGGGTTTCCATAACCTCTCACCCCAAATTCAATACATCCAACACACGGACAGTCCAGCCAGTGTTTGGGAATTCTGGAAGTGTGTAAATACCTGTAGGCTAAACACTGCACGGTGCATACATCTATTTACCAAGCCTGTACCAGCTGCGTGCATTTGGCCCGTGAGTCATGCTCCTCCCTTTAAGCCACGTCATGAAAGCAGAGCTGGCCAGAAGTCATTTCCTTGGCATCCAAGCCCCTGCCAGAATTGGTCTCCAGAGAAGGCTGCAACAATGCCACTTGGATCTTCCCACTCTAGGACAGACTGACTTATAAGCATGAGTGACAGGTCTCTTCCTCCTACCCAACCCCTGGGCCTATTTTCAGGTAAAGCAAATGTTTGCAAACACCTAGGCCATAGGATTTAGCTGTACACACCAAGCTCCGGCGTGGGAGTTCCCGCCAGGACCCTGGCATCATCAATGGAAGACACACCCCTGTTTGTCCAGAATTACGTCCTTGGCAGACAGGGACAGGGAAGCAAGCAGTCTTCTGAAAGGAGCTGTAAGCCCCTTGGGTAGGATGACGAGGACTGAGCCACAGGGAGGGAAACCAGAGGGGCCCCTAGGCAAGGGGCAGGCAGAGGGGATTCAGACTCAGACGTGCTGCTGGTGCTTTTCTCTGCAAATGAATTAGAAAGTGCTTCCTGGGCAGCCTGAAGGCCGGCCAGGGAGGATGGTGACCGCGAGTCCTGGAGGTGCTGCGGGCACAGCCCCTGAGATGCAGTCTCACTGAGGACCACTTGTCCAGAGCTCCCGGAGTCCTTCAGTCATCTCCAGCAGGGGCTGATTCTGAACTGCAGAGAAGAGCACCGGCCTGAAGCCAGCCCAGGGGCTTCTAAGGGAGGGCAAGATAGGGACGATTCCTCCCCAAGGAATCACTATAAGGCTGCAGTAATTAAGACAGTGGGGATTGGCACAGGGACGGATAAATAGACCATGAAACAGAAGCGAGTCCAGAAACTGACCTGTGCGTATATGGAACCCTGATATATGAGCTCAGCGACATACAAATCAGCACAGGATGGCTCTAATAAACGGTGCAGGGTAACCCATTATCCATTCAGAAACAAGGGGGGGAAAGAAATTAGATCCTAACTTTACACCAGACACAAAAATCAATTCCAGGTGGATTAGAGACCTAACTGTGAAAGGCAAAAGCATCTACTGTGGTCAGTCTGAGTGTGGCCAAATTTGGGGACAAGTCTGCCCTTCATGGAAAGGAAACAAGCAGACTTGGGATACTCACGAGGTTCTCGGTCACTGTGAGGACATAGTGGGTTCCGATCATCCTGCCTCTCTGCTCCAATGCCTCCTCCACCAGGAAGTCCTGCCTGACTACCATTTCCCTGAGAGGCGGGAGTCATGCCTTCTCTCTGTTGACCCCAACAAGTGGTGGTGCCAGGACATAAGCTTTACAACCACATCAAAAGCTCACATTTATCAATCACTTACTCTGTGTCAGGAACTTTACCTGTATTGTCCCATGTAATCCTTACAATCACTTCATGCAATAGGTTCTATGTTATCCCCACTTTACAGGTGAAGAAACTGAGAATCCTATTATAGAGGGTAAGTGGCTTGCCCAAATCACACATCTCTAGGTGCCAGAGCCAGGATTCAAACCCGGGTCCATCTGACTTTATAGTCCTGACAATTGCCCTAATTATTTTCGTACCACAGTATGTCCTGACCCATTAACAGACATGAAATCAATTTGCTAGTACCAACATTTTTAAAAATGAAATTAGAACGGACTAGAAAATATCTAAGGGTCTCACACATAGAAAGAGTAAGTTCTGTTTGCGAATCTTGGTTTCACATATAAGTGGTTATAGATGTACTAGCAAGAAATGAAAACATATTTCTTGCTATGGGCTACAGCCAGCAAAGTCTTCATCCCATGCCATTGGGACCTATTGGGAAAAAGTTTCTGCCCAGATTTTTCTGGGCAGAAGTTTCCCACATGCAGAGAATGGGACTTGATCATGGTGTCAGCCTCCCAGTCTGCTAAGATGAAACTTGAAAGTCAAGCTCGCCGGAAGCAGTTCTTTCAGTTCATTGCTATGTGCAAAGATGGGGAAATCAAAATGCCTTCGATAAGGTTCTCCTCCTAGATGGCGTCTCCTGGAGGTCCCAGGATTCTGGGATCCCTCCTCCCTGTGTCCCCGAGTGTCCGAGGCCTCGTGGAGGCCTGAGCACAGTGGCGGCTCAGCAACTATTGAGCCTGTCTTGTGTGCAAGATGGCACGTGAAGGCCAGATGGCCTCCATCCACAAACCCCAAGGGAAAAGACACATGGCCCCAAGAAGCTCCATCCAGGAGGGATAAGAGCACAAGCCATGAATTTACATGAGGCAGGAAGAGGTCGGGAAAGGTTTCTTGGGACAGGCTGTATTTAAGCCGAGTCTGAGCAATCCCTGACCCCCCAAGGTTGAGAAGGGCTGCAGGAAGGTTCCAAGATAAAGGGACAGGAGTGACCCAGAAACAGGGCCTATGCCAACAGTTGGAGAAGGTGGAAGAAGTGAAGATGGACCGGTCAGTAAGTTGGGATTCAGCTGTGAGGGGCTCGCACAGCGAACGTGGGGATGAACAGCAGAAGAGTGAGCCTTTGGAGGGCCAGGAAGCATCTCGGCCCAGAGCCGGCATCCCTGAAGCCCTCCCCACCCCACTACCAAGCCTTCTGCTCCCTAGACTCCGGTTTGGACAGCTGAGTCTGCAAGAGAAAGCCGCCATTTCCCACCCCACCCACAAAAAAGCAGAGCCATCTGAGTTTAAGAAAATGACCAGAGGGTGGCCAGTGGAGGTGTCATGCCTCTTAATTTCCTTAATGTCCACATAGAAAGGCCTTTTTGTTATTTGATTTTGTTTTTGTCAACAAATTCACTATCAAAGTTTGTCCAGTCACTTCAACGGTTGAGTTTGGATCATCTTTTCAAAATGCAAAATCTTTCACTTGCATTTCACATGCGGTGGAAGGTCCAAAAATCCAGGGCCCAACCACCACTGGCTGCCAACAGGTAAAGTGAACTTCCCCAAAGAGCCGCGGCTCAGGGGACAGCAGGACTTGGGGACCCGCCCTCGCTGCCCTTTCCCATCTGTGGCTCCCACCATTACCACCTGGCAGGGCTGGCTGGAGCCCAGTCTCTCTTTTTTGGTGGGAGCCCAGAGCTCTTCCTCTGCTCCACATGAGTCGGAGCTGCTGTCTGTCACTTAGTTTTGGCATGTGATTATTCCCTAAGTCCTCACCACTGTCTGTCCCTCTGAACTGCCTGTGGTTTTCAGGCCACTGCACTCCCCTCAGTCTCCCGGACTCCCTGGAACTCCAGGCACCGCCCTGCCTGGGAGCCCATCTCACTCATTCACTGAGTGAACTCGTACCTGGTCCACAAGACCCGGCTCAAATGCCACTTCCTCCATGAAGCCACTCGGGGGTCCCACTGCTACAGAGAAACCATAACGTCTTTGTCTATGCTTCCCTAGCCGACTGCGTTTCGCACAGACCTCCGTCATCCCAGCACACACAACGTTTGTCTATCTCCCTCTCAGTTGCCTGGAAAGTATGGAACATGAAACATCCCTAAGTGCTGTTGAATGAATGAAAGTATAGTCCATCAGCATGACATTAGCGGCAACCTTCAGAAATTAACTGGGGCTTACTTCCACGACAGCTCCAAGTGACACACTAACCTTCTGCCTCTACTTCCCATCAAGCCAGGTGACCAGAAAACAATGTCCCTTGCAGAGCATTAGTGAAAGCCCCAGGAGAAGTGTCTGCTCTGGTCTGAGGTGGAATGTCAGGCATTCAACCCTGGTTAGAGGCAATGAAGAAAACACCCATACAAAGAAATGTTTTTAACCCCTGGAGACATGGCCATTAGAATATTCAAATTCCACGTCAATCCTTCCTACAATTCATTACCAGGAAAAACTTTTTTGTCTTAATGAATGGTTAATTTGCCTCTGATTGAAGAAGAGGAACATTGGAAACCACTACATAGGTCACTTTTGCTTTGGCTGCCAGGAAGCTCAGTCAAATTCAGTGCGCCACTGCCACAACCACATCTTCGCTGACACCTGGGGCAGTGGTCTTCCCTTTTTTTCTACGTAATTTCTTAACTTTTTTCCACCTTAACTAACTTAGATACCTGTGGTTGTTTATTTTGCAAGAGAACTCAAGTCCTTTGTGAAAGCAGAGGGTGGGAAATGTGGAAAGAATGACAGAAAAAGAAAGAGGAAGGAAGATCAGAAGGGAGAATGAAAAGAGAGACGGCATGATTGGTGCCTCTTTTCTGGTTATAGAAAGCCAAGGGCTGGAACAGTGGGGTGCACAGGCCCTAGGAATGCACACAGGCACGCAGGTGTGTGTTGGTGCACCCATGCACTTGTGAACACAGCCCCCTTCTTCCCACCCCTGGCCACTGATGGTCACAGGCAATAGCTGTATACCGCATTCCTACTTCTCTGAGCTCTTGGAGTTCTTTCTTAGGATGTCATTTT